TATATATATATATTATACATGCAGACATATATGGTATTATTTAATGATTAAATCTACAAATAACCAATGGGAACTGATGACACGAATTGATGAAGCTTTGGAGATGGAATTCGTTATTCTAGCTTGATGTACAGCTTCCGTTATCGTAACCTCCGATTCATAATACGCTACACGTTTTCAATGGGAGCAGCCCCAAGTACAAATAGTTAACAGTAGCTCATACTGTAGTAACCCATAAAACACAATTGCTGAAAAATATGCTATAAGGTGTGGGAGCACTGTTTATTTGTGCCTACCTAAAAAAATGAACAAACACACCTCCGTGCCGGAGACAGATGGTGGCGAGGTTTGCCGACCGGTGGAAGACAGACAAACTCTGCTGGAAGCCGACAATATTTTTAGACTTATGCTGACAAGGAGGCGTGCAGGAAGTAGACACTACCCCACTCGAAAAGGGTTGGGTGGGGGTGAAGGGAGGACGGGATGGAGAGTGAGGACGAGAGAATGGGTCAACCCACCGGGAGTCATTAATAGCAGCACATCACACACTGGGCCAGATGAAAGCAGAATGCGCGGTAAGTGTGTGCGTGCATGTCAACTGGCCTCAAGCTTGAAATGCAATTAAAGCTTGAGAAGCGTGGACAAGGCCCCCCCGTCTCTGCCCCACAACACTGCAGGCCGCGTAAGTGCGTGCCACCAGCTTTCCCACCTCCTTGTTGAAATATTCAAACTCTTATGCAAACCATCTACGACTCACATTTTAACCCCCGCTCACCGGCACTGCCCGTTATCCTCCACAAACCAGTAAGTAGTCTGGTAACAGACTTAAATGTCTCTCTTAATTAAAATAAGATAGAGTGGGCGGTGCCATGGCAACACACCTGTCACCCATTACAATCAGCGGCTATTTAAGGGCGGCTGCAGCAGCATGCTAACGCTAATTTATTGAATTGCTTTATTCCGTGCACCTTGTAGCTCCTTTCCCCCATTGGTAATTTAAGTTTAGGTACGTGTCCTTATGGTTTTTGTCTTCTCAGTTCTTTCTCAGCCACCGAAAGTACATCTTACACCTTCAGTTAATTGCTTTTGGACTGTTATTTGTTAGATTTTTTTTTTTTTTTGTTCTACTGTGGTTACTTGCCTTGGCAACGTAACTGGTAACTAAGCTGTCACTTGTCAAGAGCGTTTCTCTGTCGGGTAGTGTACAGCGTTTCCTCATTCGCCTGCTGATGAGGGAGCATCAGAAACTGCGGGTTCAGTGTCTTGCTCAAGGACACTTCGACGTGAGGATCAAACCGCCAACCTCTTGGTTACGACCACTCTACCACTGAGCCATGTCACCCACATTGATCTTGTCAGCTCTGACAGTGAGGTGTCTATACACCAGATATAATCATTGATTACCCTGCAATCACAATATCGTGACAACATACAGTACTGTATCATTTACATTCTGTAACTGTAATGTATCAAGAGACACTTGACTCAAATATATAAAATACTCCGAGTAACTTTTTACATCAAGTAAATCTGACACTCGGAAATTGGCTATCACCGGAAGCTGCTTGGGGAAGGCTCGGTTCGGTTCGCTTCGACCTAGCATCCAGCTGCCGGAAGCAGAAGAGACGCGATCCACGAAAAAGGCGCGTTCATCTGGGCTCGGAGAAGCCTCGAAAATGCGCGCGAGGGGTCACGGGGAGTATGCTGCCACAGACAATCTCCTGGACCAGTCAAGAACCGAACCGAGCCAGCCCGTTCTCATTTGTCCCAAACGTCGCGTGATCATAAATGCATCATTGTAGCTTGGCCCAAACGTTGACAGTGTGCTAAGCAGTGTTGATGGTACGTAAACGCATCATTCTGCGGATCAGTCGAACCTGACTATGTCAAATAACAAACACAACGTACACACATATCGACGGACGCTCGTGACGCAAAGTGCACTTACCTTGACTTTGAAAAGGAAAAAAAACAAGATTACAAACATTAAACTACACAGTGCAAATGAACATTATCGTTCCTCTTCCTTGGCTTTTGGGGGTCGAGCTTTCACGCCGCTATGTACGTCCGCGTGCGTGCATAAACGGGACTTGGCAAGCAGGTAAAAGCGAATAGACACAAAAAGATGGATCGCTACAAAATATATGTGACAGACATGCACTATATACAGCGACGAAGCGGTAGAAGCCCCATTCTCTTTTCTCCTCCTCCCTCCCTAACAATCTGGAGCAAATTCCCTGTCGACGTCCGAAGGATGACGCACGCATGCGCACAAGTCAGGTCTAGGCTCCATCTTGGAACAAGTGCAGTGTTTTGTTTTTTGGGGGTTTGGGTTGGAGGTGCTGCTGGTGAGGTTGAATATGACAAGGGAGAACAAGGGGTAGATGGGGGTACATGCAGGCCATCATGTTGCAGCGGTATTAAATTAAAAGACCAACGGATAAAGCCGCAATGGATTACAGTAGATGTAGTGCAGACACAACACTCGGGTCGCTCACAATCACAAAACTGACAAAGTGCAGTTCAATTGTATTAATTTGTATGCTCGATTGGCATTCACATTGAAGTACCGTTTGTTTTTCAACATTTATTTTGATACAACGTTGTTAATGTTAGAACCGCATAAAGTTGTTATACAGAATTACTGAATATAATTTTACGTTTTTGATAACTACCGTGCTTAGCATTTTATGGTGCCAAACTTCGGGCAACAATCTCAAGTATCAAGTACAACTTTATTGTCAAATTTGCCGTATGTTCAGCACAGACAACAAACAAGAGGAGCCACTGCGGGAGCCCGCGCATCTTATTCCTGTCTTTATCTTCTTTTTCTTTCATCCAACCTGGTCTTTTTTTTTTTGCTTTCCTAACTAATTCTATTCATCATTCCCATTATTTTATTTATTCCTTTTACTAGTCCTTGGCTTAAATATGGATGTTTTTTATTTTAAATTCTATTCCTGACTTTTCCAACTTTTTATCAGTTTGTCTTCTTTCACCCAATCTATTCAAGGCTTTTCTTTCTGTTTGTGGCTTTTGCTACCCTTTCTTTTTTCTATTCCGGGCTCTGCTCTCATAGTTCTATAAATGGCTAATTGCAGCTAGACCAAGGAAGACTTTACTTCCGCCTCCACTGCTTTCGCCATCCTTCCATTTGACCCCCCAAGAGCAACCTGCACTCACGTTCCACTGTCCAATATCAATATGTACAACTTTATTTGAGTCATGTCATTTGATGATGACAACGATGAAGATGATGTGTGGTATTAACATGAGGATTTTCTGAACAACTCACAGGAGTCAAATATCCATCGATATTTACCAACGTTGTGTTCATAAGCTAAAAACTGGTCACACAAGAAAATAAAACATACGGTGCAGGTTAAAAAATCGAAATAAATTGCCTTGTTTGAGTGGCATCTTTATAATGGATCGGAGGATTTAAAAAAAATAATTTTGATTATTACACTGAATTTAAAGTTAACAATTTTGAGACAAAAGAATTGTGATTCATTTCTCACGATTATCCTGCGGAGGGAAAAAAAACAGACGAACAATTCAACAATTCCAATCTCCGACTTCACAAAAATCAATAATAACAATCAATTAAAAAAAATCTTAGATTAAAAAAAAATATTAAGTGTAAAAATCAGGATTACAGAATTTGGACAAAACTTGTGGAATCAATTCTTGTACTATTCGTGCAAGGGTAAAAATTAAGATTCTACTGCAGGATCAGAATTTTCCATCTTTGACTACCAAATCAGAATTTTTGAGTTTTCATACGTTTCTGAATTTGATGTCAGACTCCACGTTAACTAATGTATGAATCTGTCTGACAGCCTCCAAAATTCAAAGTTTTTGCACAGTCACAGAACATTGTTGTTACATTCGTCAAACTTTGTTCTCATGGCTTCGTTTTATATTATTTTCAGCATGAATTGAAATTTTCACAGCAATTTCAAATATCGTAAGAGGTGTGATCTTCAATTATAGTCATTTTGTTTCCAAATCATTCACCTGCAGTCTAAATCCTCTGATGGCAACCGGCCATCACAGTGCTAACTTTTACCGCTCAATAAAAATAATCGTCCAAGAAGGGAGCACACATTTGTACTTCTCTATGCATCAGTTAAAACTACATAGCAAGGCTAGCGTTGAAACTGGTAGTTAGTCTGTGGCAAGGCACACTTCAAATTAAAAAAAAAATAATAATAATAAATTAATTAAAAAAAGCATTCTAAAGGGCAAAGTAAAGAAAAAAATACTAGCCTGTGTTCGGATTAGTTCACTATTATCCTACTCCCTGATACACACACACACACACACACACACACGTGTGTGTGTGTGTGTGTGTGTGTGAGACAAAAGACAGTATGATTCCGAATGCAATCTCCACAATTGGAAATAAAGACATTTGAGTTATTTCGCTGAAAATAAAAATGAGAGCATCGTCATATAGCATGTTAAACGCCATCAGCGCTCCCAAGTTTCCGCCAGAATAAATAACATTCTCGTAAAACGTGTGCAACATCAAGCAATGCCAGTAAATACGTAAACTCTGAAAACGGGTGGGCTGGGGGTGTACATGACACGTTTCACTGCATTACATAAACAGCTACAGATCAATCACCACCACCTTTCCTCATGCTAACCACCCATTAGTCTTAACATGCAATGCGAATGGATTCCCTTAGAGGAGTGCATGTCAACATTGAAACTAGCTTGTGCTGCAAACAGATACACCCCTCCACCCCCCAAAGGAATTCACGTAGTAGGTAGTACAATGCTAAAGGATTCCTACCAGGTGAGCCACCAGCAGTGAATGAGAGCTAAGTAGCACATGAATTATAGATTTGAACTAGCTTACAATGCTATTTGACTATGGCGGACTATTGAGTGGAACTAAAAAGTCCACCATCGTCAACTACAAATTCCTGAATAGTGATAGTCCACTAAATATCCCCTTGTTTAGTTGTTCACTACTTTTGATTGCAAAATGGCCAACTGGCGAAATAGGGCACGATGCGATGGCTCGGGAGTGAATCCCAACACAGCCTCAGTGTACGTACACGAGAGTGCTTATTGACACTTCGGCAGTCATGTTTGTAGTTTTACTTGATTAGAGTAGTAGTACTACAAGCTGAAGCTGCGGTGGTGCTGCTTTGAGAACTCCTGTTGGCGCTGGCGGGCGCTAACTTGGCTCAGCTTATCCCGCCGCTCTGCCACCCGGTTCTGGTCCCGCTCGCCCTCCTCGCCCGTCACGCTGCCGGCGTCGCTAAGGTCGCCCAGGTGCTCTACCGAGTCGTACTTCTCCAGATCGGAGGCGATGGTCTGCAGGCTGAAGACAGACAGGGAGTCCGAGCCGGCCCGTTCGCGCTCCTTCTCCGGGTCCGGCCGGTCGCTGTGTGGCGGGCCGGCGCCCCCGCAGGCTCTGCCCTCTTTGTAGGTGTCTGACTCAGCCCCCACAGGGGGGCTGCGTCCTCCAGGCACAGGGGCATCGTGGCCCCTCTGAGCGTGGATCTGCTCGCTGATCTGTTCCAGGTTCCTCAGAGCGATGGAGTAGCGAGTCTTCACTTTGGACACGTGCTGCTCCAGCTGGACAACTTTGGTCTTGTGCTCCTGGAGGACGCGTGTGCACACAAGAAAGCGCATACACACACACACACACACACACACACACACACACACACACACACACACAAAAAAAAAAAAAAACCTATAAAATGACCTTGTCTAAATCCCACTTATGGGTTCATATTTTTAAGACGTTTGCAAGATTGCTTAAATAAACTATACTTTGTAGATTGACTGATTGGTTGATTCCCAGGAACCCTCGCCAGCTCCTAAGAGCTCCCCCGTGTCTCGTGACTCCATTTGATCGGCACCTCACCTCAAGTATGTTGTTAAATTGTGCCTTGAGCTCAAAGTAAGGCTTGGACTTGAGGATGGCTCTCCTCAGCGACTTCTGCAGAGTCTGCACACGAGCCTCAGCCTCTTGACACGCGTGAGTGACGCGCATGTGTTCACGCTCACTGCGGAGACGCTCTTCCTCAGCCTCGTTCACCTGCAACACACGCTGGAGACAGTCAGCAAGACGCACCCACGCACACAGGGGAATTTGTGTGTGTGTGTTGTCACCTTGGAGGTTGCGTGATTGAGCATCTCTTGCCAGGTTGGGTCCAGGGTGTTCTTTCCGTCTGCCATGAGGCCCTGTTCCGCCACGTATACCATCTCCCGAGCCGCCGTATGCATGGAGACAGCGCGCTCATAGCTCAGCGCTGCCTTCTGGGTCTCCTGCTGAGCCTACACAAGGACCACAGCACACACATTTTAAGACCCGACAAACAGGGACCGCCAAAAACATCAGACTTTAAACAGGACCACCACCACACACAGACACGTTGTCAGACGCCACAAGGAGTCCACCACACATATTATGAGACCAGACAGACACACACACACACGCACGCACACACGTTATCAGACTTGACAGACAGGGACCACCAAACACATTATAATTGGGAACACAATTTTTGTTGAGTTAGGTCTAACAGTTGTTTTTAATCATTTTTGGTTGCGGAATCCCGAACTGATTCTTTATCATGTCAAGTTTTTGAGGTATAGGATCGCCGTTTTCTCTTAATAAGATAAGATAAGATAAGATAAGATAAGATAAGAAAACCTTTATTAGTCTCGCAATGGAGAAATTCCCAATTCACAGCAGCAAAGTTATGAATGGAAGAAGTACAACAACAAAATATAGGAGCTGCTGGAAAGGCAGCCACTCACGCGGCGCCATCTTGAAGTCAAAATAACACAACACAACACATCGGACACAGACAGTCGTGCAATCTTCACCACTTTCCTGCATACACTTTGTTGTCTGAAGCAGTTATAGATGAAAGAGGAGAGGATCAAAGTGTCCTTTTACCAGTGGATCAGAGACGTCATGCTGAAAATGTGCACGTCTGCTACAAGCTAAGTTTTGAAAGCAAACACGAAGCTGTAGCATCCATTGACAAAAAGAGATTAGTTCACTACTCCTGTCGCACGTAATCCGCTTCAACTCCAAGCCGCGACTCCCGGTTCCACATCCGCATCGGCGCTCTGCGCTAACGCTCCTTTCTTCTCATCGTCGGCTCCTCAAGCCTTGCATCCATCCAGCCGCAGACCGTTCAACAGCAATGTCTTCTACGCTAGCTTTCTTCATAACTTCCCTGTTGTAAATTGGGAATTTCTCTATTGTGAGACAAATCCAGATTTTCTTATTCTTATTTCTGTTTCCAGATTTTGATAGTACTGAGCTATTGGGGTCTGCACACACCTCTGATTGCACTGTTTCAATTGTGACTGCACAAAAAAGTTGCCACGTGGCTGTAGATGAGTCCAATTGTAAAAAGCTACCAACTCTTATTACATCTAATCAGTGGAATTTTGTAGTGGGGAAAAAAATCCCTGCAATTTTAATATCATCATGCTAAGTTTAGTTGAAATCACATACATATCGAATTCAACAGATTTTTTTTTTTTAATCGCATTGTTCCTCAGTGTAATCAGACAGAGGGGGACCACTCTCTACACACAGACACACACGTTATCAGGTCCGACATACAAGGACCACAACACACACACATTATCTCACAAGACATATTTCAATAAGCCAATTTCTAATGTTAAATAGGCACAGGCGACACTTTCAGATGGCAGACAGCAAGTGACTACTCTCGTGGTTGCTTGTTTCTTTTAGTCTTGGTTTCATACTTAAAACAAATTCAGTTTTAGTTTCAACTTTACTGAGTAGACTATAGTTACAGTGCTAACCATTTCGGGCTATTAATCCAAGAACAGAAAATGACAGCCATGCAGAACATTTCGTTTTCCAGAAGCTTTAACATGCAATGTGATTGTGAATTGTCATATAGGTGAACTAAATAACTGCTAACAATGTAAAATGTGAAAATTTGTTTTTTTCTTCTGCCCACCTCCTTGGCCAGGCGCCGGGCCTCGTAGTAGGGCCTGGCCTTCTCTATACAGGTACCCAGTTGGGAGCTGTGAGCGTTTAGCTTCCGAGCAGACTCTGTGAGAATCTTGCGGTATCCCGACCGGGCATCCTGGATGGGAGAACCACCAGAGGCAGAAGATTAGATTCCTCTGAAGTGGATCCCATGATTGGATTTTGCACTCGAGTGTGACAGGAAGCACTCCAGCACATTCAAACTATTAGCATGTAACACAAAGCTCTCTGGTTTCACTGTTCGGATAAATGGAATGAGCATATTGATAAGTAGCATATGGGAAGATGAAGCGAGTATTTTAGCAGTAGAAATTCACGAAAAAAAAAAGAAACTCAAGATTCAAGCCGTTGTCGTTAACTTACATCTAATTCCAGCTCAAGCTTGTTTATTTCAGCGCTGGCTTCGTTTAAGTGCTCCAACTCTTCCTGAGAGGGGAAAAGGAAAAGTTTTTCTGTCAAGCAATGATTTATTTTTTTCAAAGAAAAAAACGTTACCTTACAACAACTTTTACAGATTAAAAAGTCATACAAATTGTGACAGTCATATTTTTCAGACAAAGTTGTGTAATTTTGACAAAAATAATTGTAATCTCACATAAGATACACAATTTTTGTCAATAAAAGTCAGATGTTCTGATATTACTGTATTTTATTTTATTTTTTTCAGACTAAACCCCACATACAACCCCCCTCTGTCCTCCGTTCTTTGTCACACTCATAGACCTGTCTGTAACACCCCAAAACCTCGTTCTAAACCTAGAATCGCCCCTGGCAGGGGATGCACTGACAATATTTGAGAGATAAATTATACATTCCTAATTGGAAGATTATTTAAGTAAATATTTTCAACAAAAAGCTTGTAATACCACGATAATTTCGGATGCTTTGCCCCAAAACTTAGCATTGCTAGAATGGTTAATGCAGATTTCAAGTTGTATAGTATAGTGTAAATGTACCTAATGAAGTGTCCTCTAAGTAGAAGTGAGGAAATACATTCTTTACTGAGGTAGAAGTACAAATACTTAAGTGCACCTAAACTTGGTTACAACGTATGTACCTGTATTCGGGGGTCCAGCTCGTCGTCGTAAGGGCTGTGAAGCTGGTCGCCCGTTTTAGTTGCTTTATCGCCCCCGACGTCATGGCGGCAGGTGTCTCTCGGTGACATCTCCGTGGTCGCCATAGGCTCAATGTGGGCGGCTTTCCCTTCGTCCTCCCCGCCGGGCCGAACCTCCCTCCAGTCGCCGGCATCGGACTCTCCGGAACCGGCGGGGCTCTCCCGCAAGTCGCCTGGCTCCATGCCAGGCGGTTTCGTTAACAAATGCCAAAAGGGTCGACGCCGTAACTTTTAGTCATACACCGGATACACTTTCAAAAGGTTTATTGTCATCAAGTGTGAACAAATGAGGAAATGGGTCGAGTTGTGGTGGATGCTAGGTGGTTCCGGAGCTGCCATATCAAATCACACCGAGTCACTTAGCAACCGGAGCTAATCGAACCCGCACATTGTCGCGCTATAGCAGGACTGGAACGTCACTAACATGTCCACGCTCTTCTTTGTGCCGTAAATAACACGACGCAACGGCATTACGAGACCGTTCACTGTCGTTTACCCTAAAACGCGTCATTATTGAGTTATTCAGGGTTAGCTAACGAGCTAGCTGGCGGATGCAGTTTTCCATCGTCACTGAAGTGAAGCGAAGGAGCAGAGGTGCAGTTTTGAGAACAGATGAAGTTCGGGCTGACACGGATTCCGTAGCTACGTGTAAATAAACGTCTGGTTTGAATAGAGGTGAATTTCGAACTTGTTCACCCATCAAGGTTCTATTTTTTTAAATGCATATTTCGAATAGATCTCTTCGTGCCTCATAATATCATTGGAAATAAAGCGAAGCAGCAGGAAAAGTATTTCGAAAAGTATGGCCCAACAGAGTTTACGTAGACACGCGGAAGTAGCGATAAGCAGTAGTGTCTACTTAGAATGAGAACTACCATCTAATTATAGACTATTCACCAAAAGTTAGGGATATTTGGCTTTCGGGTGGAATGTATGAAAAATGTCAAAAGTTCACGCTACATTGATATCACATCATGAACGTAAGATATTTCAGTAGAAAGATGCACTGGTGATTTCCGCCATCATCCGGTTTCTCGGGGCATTGTTCACAATGTAGCGGTCATCAGCTTGGGATGTGGCCAAAGAACGTCCACTTCTACATCTTTCTGTGACTCTTTCAGTATCTCGGTACTTCTGTTGCAACCTGCCGATGACACTCTATGACATTCTAACCTCGGTGGCCAGTTCCGTCTGAGAATGTCTTGTTTGAAGCATCACAATGGCAAGGTACTGTTGATCCATTGTTAGGGGTCGTCTTGATAAAATTATGTCAAAATGTGAATAGCATGATGAGGTCGACTGTTTAATGTCTAATTGAACCAGGATTATTGGTCGATTCAAGGATCAAAAACTACTTGTGAAATGTTTTCGTTCAGCTCCTCATTAGAGAACAGCAACTTGTTGAAAAAAGTACTGAAACATTTAACATTTGGACATGTACATCCAAAAGCTTAAAGAAGGTCACAGGTTGCCTGGAAAGGTTTTAATGCATTTTAGGCTCGGCCTGAAATTTCAACCAAAAACCAAATGTCTCTAACTTTTTGTGAGTAGTGTATGTGTATAGTATATAACTCAATCCATTCCTATTTCTTTTTTCATTGTAATCATAATGACGCCAGCAGCTCTTCCACATCGCCACAAAAGTAAAGAGAAACAACTATGAAATGTTTCGATACAGGTGAATCTTTAAGTTTGGGCCCATGCATAAAATGAACCAGAAAAATACATTTCATGGATGTCCTGTTCTGTGGAAACAAAACATCAGAAGGGTAAAATTAAAAATAAAACAAATCGAGTTGTTTTCATTTATTACAAAATGCCCAAACACAGAAATATTCTGGTAACATCCACAACATTTGATTGTCACAGCAAAACAACTAAAGCATTGCAAATTTCCCCAGTGTGGGACAAATAAAGGTTATCTTATCTTATCATTTTAAATTATATATAAAAAATGATCTGTCGTGGAATTACAGCAGTTGAGCAGAGCAATCGGAACATTTTATTCACAGATTACCTGAGTGAATTGGCATGAAGCTATGAGACCCGTAATTCCCAAACCAGTGTTCCACAGGAAATTCCACTTAATAGGCCCCAAAATTAATTATTTACTACAAATAATGTATCTCTGTTGAATTATCCATGGCAGCTCATACTGGTCAATGGAAACATCAATAAAAATGCTCTCTCATCAACTAACACGCAAAAACAATGAGGAATAAAACTTTGGACCACTTGTATGCCAAACACTTATTTCATTTGTTGTGCTTTAGGTTATGTCTTGGCAGCAATCAGTTTCAACTGGGATCATACTCTGTCCATCCCGGAGGCGGAGCTATGTAGATCCTGCGTCCTTTCAAGAAGACTGTGACCACGCCTCTGTAGCCGGTCCTTGGCACGCCAGACTTGAAATCGTTCATGATGCCCAGACTTTGGGCAAATACTTTGAAGCTGTCCTTGCTGGAGTACTGCAGGCGGAAGGGACCGCCACCCTCCAGCGCCCCCTGTTGGATGTCCTCAAAACTGACAGCAGGGGCATCATAAACCTCCTTCTGGAAGCTTTTTTTGTACACGTCCTCCTTCAAGTAGGTCAAATTCAGTTGGGTGAAAGGCACAAAGTCCGAGTTGAGTTTAATGTATTGGAGGTACTTGTCGTAGAACTGACCCAGGCTCACACCCTGCCGGCCGAATGTCAGCGTGCGTGAGATCTCGGGCCGGATGCAAGCACGGCCACGCCGCTGCTCTGGTTTGCGCATCCAGTCGTCCCAGAAAGCTGCGGGCCACGTGGGCTCCAGCTCCTCCCAGAGCTCGCGGAGCAGCATCCAGCCCAAGCCCGGGAAAAAGTCAGTGCGGTAGAGTAGGCGAGAGCCCGACGGGTCCACGAAGCCTTGCCGGCCGTTGTCATTCCAGGCCGACACGCACCACAGACTCGGGTCCGACCGGAGCAGCGGCAGCGTGGCGCGGAAGTACTCGAAGAAGTCTGGTGCAACCTGAAGGAAGACAGTGGAGTGTCACTTGGGAATACAAAATAGGCGGAGAATCAAACTTCTGTTGGAGAAAGAAAGTTGCCAAATTGGCTTACTTGTGAATATCCATTATTTGCTACTCGCTTCACATTTACATTTATTGTGTGAGTTTAATAACTTCATAGCATTTGTGTGAAGCACTATTGCGCCAACCCTTTGCTGAACCTGACCCCTAATTCATAAATTACTAAATATTACTATACTACAAATAGAAATCTATTATTATGATAAAAACCTGATATGATAAAGAAAAAAAAGCGCAGATTCAGAATCCATGAAAAAAAAAATCTAGATATATCCAATTAAAAAAAAAATGCAGTAAAAATGTGTTGCCATATCTCTAAGAAGCATTTTTTTTTTGCTGTTTTTTGGGGGAGCGTTTTGTTTTGAGAAAAAAGTACAATATTTGAGAAAACAGTTTTACACCAATGAATCTGATTTTAAGGAAAATCTTAAGCTGTTTTTCCCCCAATTGAAAGAAAACATCTGATGTGTATAATACTCTTATGAGAATAGTTTTGTTTTTTCCAAGGTAAAAATAACGGGAGTATTTCTTCGAAATCAAATTTCTTTTTTTTTTTTTTTTTTAAAGAAAATTGTCATCTTTTTCATTAACGTTTTGGGGGAAGACATTTATGCTTTATTTTGCAAAAAAAAAAAAAAAAAAAAGAATTGCATATTTCAGAAAAACCTGAAATCTTGACAATGAAAAATCAATTTATTCCAAACAAAATTATCAATTTTATGAGTCATATCATTTTGGTACGCTTTTTCGAACAAGACTTAGATAAATACCTCAAGGTCATCTTCCACGATGATCACGGCCGAATAACTGCGGAAGACTTGATTGAGAGCCCAGCGGTAATGTCTGGAGATCTTGTAGTAGCCCTGAAACATTTTGTGCTCTGGCGGCACCGCCACATCGGCCAAGTCAACCGGCATCAGATGAGTAACCGTGCTTCCATATGAGCGGATGACATCGGCCGTCTCGGCGTGGCCGCAGTCCTGACTCACAATGATGGGGAAAAGCTCGGCCGAGGGTCGATACTCGATCAGTTTGTCCAGGCAGCGCCGCACCGTCACCCGGTTGCAGGCCATCACCAGGACAGAAATGACGGGGTCGGGGGGCAGCATTGGCTTCAGTTTCTTCTGCCCGGCGCACCGCCCAAGTTTGAGTTTTTGGATCTCCATTAGGATTTTATTCTGACTCTCCAGCTCCTTCTCCAACATGTCGGCCACGCGCAGCACTTCGCCCACCACATCAGTGTTATCGTCATTGTTGGGCACTCGCTTCGTCCCCTGGTCTGGAAGTCTGGCCCGCAGGAAGAGAACCAGCACGGCGTTCCAGATGAGGAACAGCAAGGTGCCGTACAGGATCACAGAACCTCGCTGACAGCGCATAGCCCGCCCAAATCAAACCATACAAAAAAGAGGCTGCAAAGAGGGAAGAACAAGCTGGGGTTTTTTTTCCTGTAGGATTTTGAAGTCACATTTTAGCTATATTATTTAACAATTGCTAATTTTCATGGGGGGAAGCAAACAGCATTTCTTAAATATTTTTCTCAAAGTTTTATTTTTTTAAGAAAAAGATTCTGCACATTTCTCAGTTAACACATCAGCAGTCAGTGACCCTTGACCAACAAAAACCCAGACAGTGAGACATTTACATTCTCTTCCACTAGATGTCGGCCAGCCTTTTTACACTTCAATTTACGTCCCACCCTCCTGATCATAACTGGGAAGTTGACTCGATTGCTCACCAGCAGCTGCCGAATGCGAAACAAAACGCTCTTTTTCCACACACAAAAAAAAAAAAAAAATCGCAGAATAAGCCTTTTTTTCCAAGTTGTGCTGACATTTGGATTTGTTTCGAAAAGACGAACCGGTTTCGCATAAGACTGGATCCTTACCTGGAAAACAGAGCAGTCGCTTCCTCTCTTTTTTACCATTTTCTCAATACGGCCACTTTTTCTTGGACAAACGGCGAGTGGAGAGGTCACGAGGCCGTTCTTGAACAACTTTTCACGGCGGCCGAAGCAACACGTCAGCGCTGGCCAATGAAGTTGGACTTATAGCAACACACGCCTGATAACTTTAGTCGGGGGAGGCGGAGGGAGACGAATTCAGACTGGACAACTTCCTGCTTCAGCCACGCCCCCTTTCTCAACTTCAGACGTTGAGCAATGCTTCCGCCTCGAAAAGGAATGCCGGAAATAAAAACAACCATCCATTTTCTCATCTGCTTATCCTCACAAGGCGTGTTGGAGACGATCGTACTATCGACTACTAGCCATCGTTAGGCGTAGTAAACCCTGAACTGGTTGCCAGCTAATGGCAGAGCACACAGAGACAATCATTGGCGCTCACAATGACACCTAAGTGTTTAACCATAACCTGCCAAGCATGTTTTTGGAATGTGGGAGGAAACCGGACGGAGTATCATCGTGCTAAAAATCCGTGAAAAACAATAATAAATAAAATATATTGTATATAGACAGTGTAGCATATGGCCGTTTACTATACTGCTACACGATGTTACGACAGTGTCGCAAAGCATTGGTTGGTTGGGTGACGACTGACACCTGTTACGGCAGTTGAATAAAGACCGTTGAAAAAGTAAGTCGTGTCCACACGTTTTTCGGACACAACAGACAGTGCAGAGGTGCAGGTTTAGATTCCGGCTTCGGCCTTCCAGTGTGGCGTTTACATGTTCTCCGTATCCATCAGTGGTTCACAACTACAGATTTAATGATAACGGCAATATCCCAATCTTAAATTTGCCACAATATCGTCATGTTACAATATTAAAAGCAACACATCTTCATCAAGAAACATTACTTTTCAGCCCCCTCAGGCAGACACAGCATTGTCAACTGCATACATGTAGGCCATGATATTTTGCGCCACTGATTTAATAGAATGCATGGATGGCCAAGCCTATTTCTTTGTCACTGTGGTTATTTTGGAGAAAAACATAATTTTGAGCTTTTTTCCCCCTCTACAATATTGTGAGTTTTTATGCACTCCATAGGAACTTTTTTTTTTCTCATTCACCAGCTAATTTTCTTGTGGCACATGAAAGGCGTGCTAATCATTCATCTAATTTTTAATACTGTAAATGCCACGCAAGCCACTAGAAAACTGAGCAGAAATGACGTAAAAGTGCACTGGAACATCACATTAGCTGATTACTGGGTACTGTCCAAGTCTTGAACATTTTCCATGTTGCCAGGCATCAAATTCATTCTAGGTGACAACTATTTTTATACGGTTGAGGCTTGCTTACATGAGTCAGGACAACTTGTCCGCTCTAAGAGGCCAACGTCATTATTTTCAATCCAACTGAGCCACAATCTTAAAACTGCTGGGTCCAAAATAACCCAAATTGAGTGAAATAGATAACCCAACACTGGGCTCAAAAAGGGACCAAGCCAATGCTGGGTTATTTAGACCCCAGTACATTGGGTTGAGAATTTGACCCAACACAGCACAATCAAGATTTTGATCTAACAAGGGGTAAAAACATAATACAATCTGCTAAAAATCCATGTCTTCCCAGTGAGTGTGCTATGGAAACAACTCTGCATATTTTAGTGGGTATTGAGAACTCGAGCAGACTAACTCAGTGGAGTTAATCCACTCTAGTTCTCAGTGTCTCAATCGTAAAAATGAATTTAAAGTGTCGAGTTAAGCAATTTAAGGCACTTTTTTGCAATCACCAGCAGCAGACAAAGACATTTTTTCGACATGTTTTTTACCTCTTGTTGCAAGTATTTCTTTCTGTTCGCCAACGGAAAAATGCTCACCTTTTTTTTTCCTGATCAATAGGTTAAAGTCCAAATGTGCAAAATACACACACAGGCAGCAACTTTAGGAACACCTGCACCACCATGTGTTAGACTCATGGACAGAAAATAACCAAAATGTTCTGGAGGTGGACCTCATGTTGAGGGCGTTTACTGAAATATTCCAAACACACACACACACACACACACACACACACACACACACACACACACACACACACACACACACACACAAAGACAATAAATAAGACAGGGGACACCATGTGACAAGGTGGAATTCATGATTGGGTGGCATCGTAGTGCGGGTGGCTTTTGTGCACTTGCTGTGTTTGTTGCAGTGACCAGTAAAATGACACAAGTCGTGTGGTGGCAGATTGGTCGTTATTTGCTGAAAGGTGCCTTCTGCAGAAGGTACTATCTTGTTGTCAAAGAAGTGAGTTGAGGATTTTTATTTTTATGTACATTGGGCTTTGCTGCCAACTTGTGGCATCTATACTCTTGAAAAATATTTTTTTAGGAGCGAGTCCATTAACTGTGGGATTTTCGCTATTCACGTACTAAGCAGCTCATCAAAATGAGCAAAAGCGTTTGGTCCTAAAAAGTGCATACTGAATTCTTATAAGCCACTTTAATATAACACACACACACACACACACACACACACACACACACACACACACACACACACACACACAAAGTCAATAAATAAGACAGGGGTCACAGTGTGTCAAGTTCAAGGCCTTGGACTATCAGTCAGGTCCGCTTTTGGGGGGTTTCTGTCGGGAATCATCTATCTTAATCTGTCAGAAAAGAGAAAAACAAAGAAGATGAATATTAGTGAATATAGATTTCATTCAAATATAAAAAAACGTTTAAAGGTGCTGGCAAAAGCAACCTTTGCCTGTAGCGTACCACAGTTTGTGTAGGATGCGCTGTCTTTTGTGGACATTGTCCCTAGCTATTTAAAATATTTACTTAATATTTGAAACGTTCTCAAATGTTTTACATGAAAGAAAATATATTTTTTGATGAATGTCTCCTCTTACTTGCATCACATAATTTATGATACCATCAAACATTTTTGTAGTTTTGGCTTAATGATTTTAGGAATAATGTATTGCCCCTTCTAATTTCATAATTGTGATTTTTTTTGTTGTTGTCTGCTTTGTATCATTTTCCGAAAATATTTGCATTTTTAAAAAACTATTTTTGCTGTACTTGAGCGTCACATAATTGTTCTGTTGTGCGTCACCTTGCGATGGCGCCCCCTGGCGCATCCACAGAGCATGGCCAGCCTTCGTAACACAACGTGGGTCAGCAGAAGTTGGAGAGAGCGGCAGGTGCTCCTCAAAGTCGACCATCTGACTTCCACGAAAGACGGCGTCGTCTCTCCACCGTCACGGCACACTCCCCAAACCCCGTACTGGGGCTGCTCACACGCGTCCCGTACGAACACTTTCATTTGACAGGGTCGAAGCAGCCGTGTGACGACGACGCCAGCGGCAGGTTGACGAACACCTACGGGCCGTCCCATGCTCGCTCCGAGGCCGCTGGGTGCCGCTGCGTAAGAGCCCGCCTCCGGGACGCCTCTCCTCGGATTTCTCAAAGGGTGGGCCCCGCCGCCCACACGCGGTGGGGAATCGTACCGCACGGACAGTCGGTACGCCGACAAAACGCTCTTGCCGCGGCCGAGCGAGTCGCGTCGAGTTCCGCCGGCGAGCGCTGGGCCGTACGCCGAGGGGGAGCTTCGCTTGCTGGGCGGATTCCTGGTCCACAGTGTGCCGCGACATCGAAGCACGGAAGTGAGGGCTGAGGCGGAGGGAGTCGAAGCCATGGCGGACGGCGGCGTCCACAAGTCTCGGCTGACTCGTTCAACCTCTGTTCTGTCTCCCGGTGGGGGTTACAGGGTAGGAGGAGGATGAGGGGAGGGGGCCGCTTGGAGTGGAGGGATCTTCATGGGACGACTGACCTACTTGTTGGCAAAGTCCGGGAGGGGAGACGGTGTCATTTAAATACGGAGACTATAAATATAGAACAGATATTATTGTATAATTTATTCCCAAGTGGAACACAGCGTAAAATATATTGTAAAATCGATGTGATTCATGATTAATATTCATTGAAAACTAAATTGAATTCAAAATATAAACTTGTTTTTAAAGTAATTGGTTATGGTTTCTCTCCATTTTCTAATCCACTTAACCTCAGGCGTGTTGGAGCCTATCTCAGCTGTTTTCGGGCAGTTGGCGGGGGACAACCTAAATCACCGGGCACACAGACAAATTTGGAGTGCCCGATCAACCTGCCATGCATAGTTTTTTTTTTTGTGGGAGGAAACTGGAGTACATGTAGCTGTAGAAAACCCACGCAGGCACGGGGAGAACATGGATACTCCACACATCTCTCTCTCTCACACACACACACACACACACACACACACACACACACACACACACACACACACACACACACACACACACACTTTTTAACTGACTGGCACAAGAACAAAAAACGTGCACTTGCTAAAATTGTTATTTTTGTCTGTGTAGATTTTCAGTCACCAGGTCACAACTCTTGTTTTGTTGAGGTTTTTTTTTCACATGCGACTTCAGCAACTATGCTATTATCGTGACAAGATAAAACCCTCTGGATATACTCGGGGAGGTGGGGGTGGGGGGGGAGAGAATTGGATTCTGGCTGTGGGTGGGTTGCTTTAACAGATGACGTTGCATCCATTTTTCTATTAAAAAAATTCCATCTCAAATAATCTTTCCACATGGAAATGCAATACAGTAATTGTAGCAACAAACAGCTGGAAGCCTCTTTATTTTTCGTGAATTATTTACCAAACTGCTGCATGTTGTGTAGTGAGATGAGATCCAATATAAGGCACTCAAATCACAAATCTTAGTTTGCAAGTCAGGAAGTCTAGAAGGTATAGTACAGCCCCAAGGTGGAATCCTTAATGACATTGTAAACAGTACTTTTCCACTGTTACTGACCAAACACATAGAATTTCCGCTTTCCCTCCAAAAAGATTAGATGGCAAATTTGCATTGAATTCCTACTTCTTATATTTTTCAAGTTCTGCATTGTGATAGTGCATTTTGTCTCACCCATCTCTCCATCTCCTTGGTGTCAAAAGCTGAAGAATCCAGATAAAGCCATCACTCACCGTGTGTCGGACTGGTTTGGTTGCCTGCGAGGGAGCAAAGAGAAACTCACATGAAACTCAAGTCTTGTGGCTTGTGTGTTTACCAGACTCGAACACATGCTCACATGTCTCAAGAATAATAACAAGATGATGATGATGTGAATACAGGTTTGGCCTCCATTAGGGAAACAAAGTACAGTATTGTCCAGATAACACATGACACATTCCACAAAAGGTCCATATTAGCCAGGCAGCTTTTTGTTTTTGTTTTTAGTGAAAAAAAAAATAGAGTACAAGTTTGCAATCATCTGTATTTTACAATAAAATCATTGGATTAGACACAATAGTATATTTACACTGTTCATGTCATTTATATTTTGGCCTGCTTCGCTTTGACCGAATGAGATCTGAAAACCAGCTAAAACGGGCACCTGTGCTAGAAAGAGGGATGTCTAGCGTCGTGGCTATATCGTTAGCAACTTAGCATGCTAAATCTGTACAACTAATCAGTTGTGTAATTAAAAAAAAAAAAAATTGCAATAGTGTTTTTACTCTATTTTGAGTATTATTTTTATATTGTTTAAGATTTGTGGTCTTTTCTGTTTGGCCTATATTTGTATAATTTCCTAATATTTGGCTTTCCCTGGCTACATTGCGTTTTTTTAAAAGGTTCTTTTTTTAATAGTTGTCATTCCCACAGAGCAGAGATTTGTGCTCCATGTGTTGAAGTAACACTTCTTCAAAGTTTCATAATCACCGTAACATATATGCGAATTCAGCATTGAATCTACCCAATCATAATTTGCATTATACAGTATGTTAGCATGAAGCTAACATCTAATTTATAAATGTATATAGTTTATAAATGATATGATTTGGCTAAATATTTTGGTGTTTAAATACTGCTGATCCCCCCCCCCCCCGACTAATTATCCTCTTATTTGAAGACCTGTGGAAGTGAGTGTTCCGTCAAAGACGGTCTACCATTTTTGACAGCAAGGGAACAGTTGCGAAGGAATACATGGGTGTGTTCTTAAGTTTAAATATTTTAATAAAAGCATACAGGTGGCCTAAAACTATATTTAAAAAGTAGTTTTCGTGGTCTCTATATGATGGATTTTCACTCATGGCCAGTGGGTCTGGTAAGTATCCCTGCAAAAGTAAATCCTATGGGTGGCTATGATTGAATTATTTACAGATAGGGTATTTACAATAAAAATCACAAATATGCGTATGGCTATGTACAGGTAGCTGGTCCATAAACAATACTTTGTAGTTGTTCACAATGCTGTCTCTCATCTTTGGCTTTCACAGTTTTATTCCACTGTGCGTGCAGTTTGAAGTCTGTGCTGCCTTCATTCGAAAAATGTCACCGTCCTTGTTTGGCTTCATTTCTTCACCTCACCAAACACGTGAAGCAGTAGTGCTTAGCGTTAAAATAAAAAAAAAAAAAAGTCACAATTAGGGTTTGAACAGGGATAGAACATTCCGGGAAATTTCCATGTAATTAAGTTGGTAATTTGATGGAAAGGGATCTTCTTCAAGCATAAATATACCAGTTAACCATCCAGAAAGGCAAATAAGTGGACATCCTTAGGAATTAAAAACAAAAAAAAAAATAATGATGTGAATTTTGCCCTTAATCTCCTTGTCAAACAGCAAGTTGTGCAAAGGGATAGAACATTCCGGGAAATTTCCATGGAATTAAGTTGGTAATTTGATGGAAAGGGATCTTATTCAAGCATAAATATACCAGTTAACCATCCAGAAAGGCATATAAGTGGAATATTTTTTTTTGTTTTTAAATCCTTAGGAATTAAAAACAAAAAAAAAATAATGTGAATTTTACCCTTAATCTCCTTGTCAAACAGCAAGTTGTGCAAAAAGTACTGAAACACTGAACAAAATAAGAACTCATGAGGGAATGTTTTAGTATTTTTTAAAAAAAAATACATGACTTTTTAAAACCGCAGTATCCGGCCGATGCCTAACTGAATCCCCAAATTTTGGTGAGCAGTGTATTTGTTTAGTTGCCTGTTAAGAGCCAGCCTCCGTTTTGGTAAATTCGGTTTATTCCGACTAATTCCCATGGCAATCCCTGAAATTTTGCAACCCTCGTTACGGTCCTGTCGTGAAAGCGTCCCGTGGAGGCGGCGGGCGTGCCGTCTGGTTCCCGGGCGGTGGCCTCGGTCTGGCGGTCACGTTGGGTATGATAACAAAGGCCAGGATGCCCACCAGCAAGAGCACCACCGTGATGGTGACGACGCTGGCTACCGTGATGTAGTAGCAGCGGTCTGAGCGGAAAAAGCGGCGGATGCGCCCGCGCACCCTGTTGGGCGGGCGCCCCACGTCCACCACGGTAGCGCGTGCCACGCCGCCCTCCATGGCTTCCAGGTGCAAAGTGTCGGCGGG